AAAGACCCTTATTCCAAGAATACAACAAGCAAGGTCTATTACTTGCAATACCAATAGAGATAAGTTCTTATCCTATCCAAATGAGAGACCACAGGTATCGAAATGAAAAAGAGGAAAAACAAAGGGAAAAATATCTACTAGAGCCAACTATATAGCGCACCTAAGTAGAAGACTGGCCAAGCCCCATATGCCTAAATTAGACAAGACTTAGCGCACAGCCAGAACAAGTATATACACCTTTAAATGACGACAAAATAAACGAGAAGGAAAAGACAAGACAAAGACAAAAGTTTTTTGATAAAACTATGAGAAGAAAAGACGAAAATATTAGAAAAGTTTAGAACAAAAAAAGAAAAAAGGAAAAAGGAAAGATAAGAACCAGAAAATTGTAGATAAAAGATTTTTAGATACGACGAAAACCAAAAATCAAGGACTAAATAACAGAAAAACACAGTTAGCCATAACGAAAAGATTATATGATATATGCAGAAACACAATCGCAATTAACAATGTGATTGCTAAAATAGGAAATCTAGAGCTAATTTTGAACAAATTAGCACATGAAGTTCAGAGACTTCACTTTTTAAGTGGACAGACAGACAAAGAATTTTTAATTAATAGAACATTGCAGAATTTTTATTTTTAGAATTGAAGATCCAGAGCATATGGCTGAATAAAAACTTGTTTAACAATTATAGTAGACAAAGATACTCCATATGGGATACACAAGCAAATATTTCAAAAATCTCTTAATTATATTCGTATTACTATAAAACCTTATAAATAGATACCCCCTTGCATCTAAATTCCTATTCTCTAATTTAGTAATTCTTCACCCTATATTTTAAAAATGGAAACTCCCACCCTACAACAATTACAGCCCCAGACCATAGATGCTTTAAATAATTTCCTTGTACTATGGAATCAGGACCCCTCGCCATAAACAATAGTTTAATTATAACTGGAAATTCTATTGTAGTACATGATGGAACTGATATCATTACGTTATTACAACATATACCAGAAACAGAACCGGACCTACCCACACAACATTTGGAAAATGTTGATGTATTAAATAATTATTTTCTGGATATAGCATTTGATGATCTTACTTTTTCTATCGAACCTATAGAAGAAAAATTGGATGTACTTTCTTCGCAACCCGATGCAGATATTGTACCAATCCAAGATACAGAAAATGAAGTTCTCGCTCAACTTATTAAGGTCCTCACAGAAGTAAAAGAAGAAGTTTTTATTCAACACAACTCTCTAATTGGAATAAATTTTAAAGAAAAACTCAGAGAAATTGTTAATCGATTAAAAGAAGAGAGCCGTAGAAAATCACGTAATCAACAAATTCGAATGTTAGAAACATCTTATTATTTAGAACAGCTAAAGAAAGAAGCTGATAATAGTGTCACGAACTTTATTTTAATATATGTGACTTGGGAATAGATAATAAGTAGTCATGGATCCAGTGATAAGGAAGGATTGAAGACAAGTATATGAGGTAATAAATTAGTAATTCGAAAGCCAAAGTGACATGATTAATATGCATAATTTATGTAATCATAATTTTGTAGTTTATTAGAATAATTGCTTGAAGATGTAGTCATAGTTAGATCATTTATTTGAGTAATTAATTGGGCGATTAGTAAAAGTGGGTATAAGTAGCGAAGAGCAAAGAGAACTCAAAAGAGATAGCTGTAAGATCGCCTTGTCAAGACATTAGTTACAAATAAATAAATACTTAATAAAGTAATAAATTATAAAGAAAACAGTAAATCTTAATAAAAACTTGAGCACACAGAGTCGCCACATAATAAATTAAGTAGTATGCGTCCCTTGATGCCTGAAAAGCGAAGCTCTAATCCATTAGTCTAGATATTTAGAGGGAAGGTCCACCTCTAATTAACCCTGTGACAAAGTAGGACCTGGGCAAATCACTAAATCTCTTGCACAACATATAAACATATTGAAAAAAAAACGTTAGTATAACAGTGTTATTGAAGGAAACAAGACTAAAATGACTACAATAGATAAGACCAAACCTTTTTATCATAGAGAAGAAGGAGAAGATATTGAAGGGTTCCTACTTGATTTCGAAGCCTATGCTATATCTAAAGATTGGGATGACGATCGCAAGCGACAAGTGTTGGGCCTATTTGTTGATGATTACTTGAGACCGTGGATAAGAGGTTTGATCAAGGCCAAGACTACCTGGAGTGATTTAAGGAAGAGTATAGTTGATGATGCATCCGTCTTCTATAATGTTGAAGAAAAGATAGATAGGCTAATGAACATAAAGCAAATGAAAAATGAATCCATAACTAGTTACACTAATCGATTTAAAGCATACGTAGAACCAGTAAAATCTGAAATATAAGAAAGAGAAAAGAGACGATGGTATATCGCTGGGCTCAAGAGAGCGCTTAAAGAAAAGGTAAAAGAAAAGTATCCGGAGACGTTTGAGAAAGCAAAGGAAATTGCCCTGAACATCGAAATGTATAATAAAAACATTGAATATAATATAAAGAAAGCTACCAAGACACTCTCCCAGGAGACATCTTTTTCTAATAACGAGGATGTTAAAATAACTCAATTAACGGAAGCATTTGAAAACCTCAAATTACGCCATGTAATGCAATGTTCATCAAACAAATTAGAAGAAGTAAAAAAAATGATAAATAAACTTACTAAGACGGTGAATGAGGTAACAAAAGGTTTGAAGTCGCAAAGGAACTTTGAACCACGTAGATGTTTTGTGTGTCAAAAATTGGGTTACATCTCTCATAACTGTTCCAACAAGCAACAAGATAAGGGTGAATTGAGTAAAAAAAAGAAAACAGAATGAACAATTAAAAGAACCAATATATGATTTTTTGAGTTTGTGAATAATCAAGAATATCAACCTATGAGGAAGGTTGATAAAGAAAAGAAATCAATCATTGAAGATTGTCTAAGAATTGAAATTAATTCAGATCATGAAGTATTAGATATAAGGGCCTTGGGAAAACGATGCTATGTTGAGGTGGGGGATAGTCTCAATAAAAAAGGAAAAACAGTTAATCAAAATAACACCATAGTAATATCACAACCTCAACCCAAGAAAACAGTAATATATATCCTGATGGCTGAGTTGGTCTAGGAACTTGATGTTCTACAAAAGATTGCTAAACTGAATGTAACTATAACACTGGAACAACTATTTAAGTGGTCTCCCAAAGTGAGAACAGAAGTCTTTAAGTCCTTAACGTATCACAAAAAGAAAAGTGAGGTGGCACAAATGGATGTAAAGATTAGTTTGGTTAAGGTGATACAAGAAAAGACTAATCAAAGTCATAATGAAATAGTACCTGCACGTAATGCCCTTATTAACGGTGATATGGTTAAGGTTCTTATAGACCCAGAATCCTGATTGAATTTAATACACATAGACTATGTAAAGAAAAGAGGCTTTGAGTAGCAGAAAGTGGAAGGAAAAGGAAGAATGGTTAACAACCGAGTAAGCAAGTTTGTCAAGTATATACCTGGACTCGAAGTTGAAATGGAGGAAGTGATAGTTAGTAAAGGGTTTTATGTGATGGAGAGTGCAAGTTTTGACGTACTTTTAGGTATGCCTTGGATTGCAAGAGCCCAATATGAACTGAGATGTCATGATAACCAATATTGGTGTACTATTTCAGCTCCAGACAGAGAATCTTCATTCGTCATATTAGTTGTACCAAAAGAATGGTTCCTACACGTACATGATGGAAACTTGAGCATGATGATAATGATGAATTGAGCGATAAGGAGGATGTGTTTATAGTAAGAAGGTTGAATGAAATTGAAGTTGAGGAATCAGATGTAAA